GGGGGGGAGTCGAGGAGTCGTGGGCGCATGCGGCGTGACAGGGGTTCAAGGTCGTCGTTAAGCTGGTCTTGCGAGGAGACTGGGCGCAGGAGAAGCGAAGGAGGACGCGAGCAAGATGGCAGAATCAAGGCCGAGGTGCTGCTGTCATGGCAAAGGGGACTGCGGGTCCGCGAGACCTGCCGCACCGCAGTCGTTGCCTCGAGCGAGGGATTCGTCTAGCATTGCAGATGTGTCGTTGTACAAGCTTGAGAGGCGGCAAGGACAACGTTGAGGACTTGACAATCTTGCTCTCGGGTCGAGAGAGAGAGAGAGAGAGAGTTCCTGACTTCAAGTCATATCGGGCTAAGCCCATGTAGACCGGTGAAGTCTGGTCACCACAGCGCATAACGACATAGAAGGGGTATCTACTGAAGTGGAGAGGCGATAAAGGGTGGAGAAACAGTGGGTGAGCAGAATGGAGCGACAAAGTAGGTGTGAGTGTGAGAAAGCGCGAAAGAAAGGGTAAGAGTGATGGTGGAGGGGCACGGTGCGGTGAGCTAGTAGAAGGGGGTGTTGGGGGCTAGGGGAACGAAAAACGAAGCCGAAATACCGAGAAACCATCGAGATAATGCCAGAATTGATCTTGTCCTTCTTCAACGGCGGCGACGACGGCGACGACAGTCGGGGCGCGGTTTTGGTGGGTCGTGTGGTAGAGTGTGGTGTAGCAGACTTGCCGAGCTGAAAGCGGGCCGGGTCGAGGTTGGATCGAGCGAGAGAGAGCGAGATAGGGTTCGGGGCGGAAGGTTTGGGGTGGTGGTGGTGCCGGGCGGTCTTCTCCTACGCTCCGTTCTCCGCCTTCCTTCTCTTCTTGTCCCCTTCTTGCTCCTCATCCTTCGCCGGCTCCGTCAGGCGCTCGAAACGACCTGTTGCTGCGATGAAGCCGAGGAGAGGGATGCGGTAGTCGATGTTGCCGAGGAGGAGGCCGATTGTAGGGGTCTGACGAAGTCGAATGTGCTTGTAGAACGAGGTGCGTGCCTGCTCGTACAGCGGGCAGAGAATCAGGAAGTGTTCCCGACTCTCCACCTCGCCGCACTCGCAGAGGTTGGATCGGGACGGGTCGAAGCGGGCGCGATGTTTGTTGAGCGCAGACGCGTCGGTGCGTAGGCGGCAGAGGAGTGTTGCGTGACGTCTTGGGAGCCCGGCGTAGTACTTGTGAGCTGAGGAAGCCGTCTTGACGACGTTCGCGAGGGGGCGAGGAAGTGACGATGTCGCCCATTCCGCGTTCCATCGCTCGGTGACGGCCCGCTTGTGGGCGGTCCAGAGAGCAGAAGTTGTAGCGGGAAATCCAGCATCGTCGCCTGTCAAGCAAGGGGCGAAGCGAGGTCGTCGACCGGGGTGGCTGGACTTAGCGAGATGGCGGGCTCCTCGCTTCTCCTCCTCCCAATCACTCGAGTCGCCCTCTGACTCGCTGGACAGGTTGGCCATGGCTGGTACAAAGGCTAGACGGCCCTTGAGGTGCGTCTTAAGCTTCGTCCGCTCCTCCCGCGCCCTCGCTGACTCCTCCTCCTCCCGCACCGCCTCCTTCGCCTCGACATCCGCAACCTCGTTCCCCTCGATCCCGACATGACCTGGCGACCACGACAGACTCACGGCGATATCCTTTCTGGTGCGTTGGAGTTCCTCGAACGCCTGCCGAATGGCGAGGCGGAAGTGTTGGCCGGACGAGGGGGTCGGGTCAGTTGAGTGGGCGAGGGCGGAGGTGTTGTCGAGGGATATGAGGGCGGTAAGGGGCGAGTCAGCGGTTTGGGTAACGAGCAGGTAGGAGAGTGCCATGCGCAGGCCCTCGAGTTCTCCGGTGTAGACCGTCTGTCGCTGACCCATGCTCCTTCTCTCCCTCTGCCACAGCTCGACTTCGACTGCTTCTCCTTCCCTCATCACCACTCTTCCACCTTCCCACAACTTCGCTGCGACACCTGCTCCAACCGTACCCGAGTCGCCCATTGACCCGTCTGTGTACACGAGGAGGGATCCGAGGGGGAGGTCGCGGACGACTATCTCGTGCTCGTGAGTCCCAATCTCCTTCCTGCGGGCAAGTTCGACGGGCGGGGCGGGGTTGGGCGACCAGGGCGGGATCGGGTCGGGGTAGATCGTCTCGACGACGAGGTCGGGCGGGAGGAGTGGGTTGGTCAGGGCTAAGTCGAAAGGTGAACGGTATGCGGCGTGTCCGGGACGACGGCGGGCTGTGGTAGCGCGGGCGTGGAGCGGATGTTGGGGTGAGGCGGAGAGAGCGCGCAGGGCGAGGCGAAAAAGCTGGTTTTGGAGTTGGAGGTGGATCGGTAACAGGCCTGCTTCAATCTCGAGCGCCTCGCCGGCTGCTGAGCGAAAGCCTCCCGTGATGGCCATGGCAGCCACCTTCTGTATGCGCACTAACTCCTTTGTCTTCTCCTTGCCCCTTGCAGGATCCGCCCATGCCGCCGCCGCCTACATCAACCTCGGCAAGACGCAAGCTACCACGAGCTGGCGCGCCAGTCTTGGCGCTAGGCCGGCCTTTGAGCGGGTGAGGAGGGATACGGCCGTCGTTGAGACTGTGGCACGGGCGGCGCAGGAGGAGATGTGGTCGCGGAAGGATAACCGTGAGTCGAGTTTCGTTCCCAGCATTGTCAGGGTCGGGTTGAACTCGATGTGGTGGCCGCGGAGGACGACTTGGGGCGTATTTGTGGGAATGGCGTGGGCGGAAGGGAGGAAGATGGTTGCCTCGGTCTTCGTGGGTTCGAAGGCGGACGAGTGGCTGTCGGACCATGCCTCTAGTCGCGGGACGATCCCATTCATAGCGCTGACCGCTTCGCCAACTGTTCTGCCCCAGGCCAAGATGTTCACGTCGTCAATCCAGCCAAAGCCGCACGTCGACGCCGATTCGCAGGACTCGAGAAGCGGCGAGTTGTAGACGAGGAAAAGAATGGGCGATAAAGGTGAGCCTTGGGGCAGTCCGCTGGTCCACTCAATCGTCTCGCTAACGACGCCTTCGAGCTGCAGGGTGCATGTCCGGTTGCTGAGGAACGAGCGGATCCAGGAGCAAGCGGAGTCGGGCAGGCCGCGGTTCTTGAGATTTGTGGTGAGTCGTTCAGTCTGGACGCTTGGGAACGCCTTGGAGACGTCTAGGGCGAGGCCGATGACCGCGTTGCCGTTCCGCCACTGACCCTTGATCTCATCGACGACGCAGACCACCGCATCTTCCGCCGAGCGACGGCGACGACCACCGAAGTGTGATTGCGGCAGTATGCCGTGTGATTCGGCGAGATGCGACAGCCGGGCGGCGACAACTCGCTCCAGTCCTTTTGCCACGCAGCGCTCAAAAGCGATCATCCGGTACGCTTTCGGATCGCGATAGTCCGGTTTCTTGGGCTTGCGGAGGACAATGCACGAAGCGTCTCGCCAGGATCGAGGCAGGTGGCCGAGGGCGAGTGAGGTGCGGTAGAGGGAGGTGAGATGCGGAAGGAGGAGCGGGAGAAGGAGAAGGAGTTGGAGGACGTGGTTGGGTACATCGTCAGGTCCGCAGGCGGCGAAGGGTCGGGCTTGCATGATTGCTGACGCTACTTCGCACTCGTGCATCTCCGGCCAGGGCAAGGCGGGCGTCGGTGGTTCGGCGTGAACGTCCTCGTCGGCTTCTGCGGGAGTGATGGTGGCCTCGCTTGCGCGGGATTCAACTCCGTAACGACTCGAGTGCGTAGCCCCTTGAGGGTTGCAATACGACCGGTGAGAACGTACTTGCTGACGTTCCTCACCCTCAGGAAACGACCCTCCCCTTCCTCCCTCCTCTCCTCCCTCCGTCTTGTCGCTCGTCGTCGCCTTCGACATCGCCATCTTTGCCTTCGTCGCCGTATTCGCCATCGTCGCCGCCGCTTTCCTCGTCGTCGCCCTCACCGTCTTCTTCGTCGTCGCGGTCGGGTCTGCGCAGGTACGTCTTGGCTCACTCTCGTGGCGGTCGTCTGCTTCTCGAGTAGTAGGTTGGACAATAAACTCAGGGCTTACTTGAACACCGCTGACTCTCCTCCCAATCCCGGCCTTCGCAGGTTGCGGTTCCGGCCAGCGCAAAGTTGGGATGTCAGGATTGCAGCCGGGCGGAGGGTGGGTTGTTGGGCTTGTGGCGGGTGATTGAGCGGGTGTCGGCGCGTTGAGAGAGTTGGGAGGGACGGTCGGGAGGAGGATCGGGCGTAGGAGGGTGAGTTTGTCGAGGGCGGAGGTCGCGTAAGTACCGTCTCCCTTCCGAAGCGGCGGGGTTGTGGCGTTGGCGGTGCAGGCTTCGCTGATGCTTTTCTTGACCGTCGACCACAGCGTCGCTTCCGTTACCGCCGCCATCTCCTTCTCTTCCCACGCCTCCTTCTTCCTCCTCATCAGCTCCTTCACCTCATTCCTTCGCCTCTTCTTCTCACGCCACGCCTCCCTTCCCTCCTCTTCTCGACTATCGGCCTCTCGCATCCGGAACGCTCGGTTCGCCGCTCTTCTTGCCGCCTTGCTCGCTTCGGCCAGCTCGCCGTCCCACCACGGAACAATTCGTCCGGCTCGGGCCCGGGCGAAGGGCGTAGCGGCGGAAATGGCGGTTTGTAGCGCGTTGGTGAGTTGGGCTGCTCGTTGGTCAATGTCGGTGGCAGTGAGAAGCGGGGAGGTCGGGAGATGGGCGGCCGCGTCGCGGAAGGCGCGGTCGAGGATCGCGGGGTCCGTCCGGCGGAAGGCGCGACGAGGTGGTGGGGAGTAGGTGGTGGTCTCGAGGGCGAGGATGAGTCGGACGGGGCGGTGGTCGGAGCCGGACTCGAGGTCTTCGGCGAGTCCGCAACTGACAACTCGTTCTTCTGCGCGCAGCGAGCCGAGGACGAGGTCGAGAGGTTTCTTTCGATGTTGGGAGTTGTGGGGGTGGTTGGTGATGGTGTTGGGTGGGAGGTAGTGGGCGAGGTTGTGGTGGACGAAGGTGCGTACCGCTTCTTCCGCCGCTTCGTCTGGGTCGCCAACTAACTCATCCCAATCCGGGTGCGATAGGTTAAAGTCGCCGGCGACGCCGACGAGCGAGGAGTTGGGGGTTGAGGCGAGTAGCGGCGGGAGCACCGTCGAGACGGATGTGTTATACGGTAAGTATCTCACCTCCTTTCCTCGTTCGTTGCAGGGATTGTACATGTTGATGACGCGGATTGTTTCGCCGTGCAGCAGCTCGACGTCGACTGCAGTAACGTCGCCTGATTCCACCGCGACTTGCAACGCGACGGCCGGTCCGAGGCGGTTTGAGATGAAGATGAGGCTGCGGATGGGGGCGGGTTCGCCGTCTGGCAGCGAGGTTGGTGGGGGGGTGATGAGGCGCCAGTTGGCGTTGTCGAAGGGTTTGAAGGGACGCGGCGGTTCTTGGATGAGGTCGGTGGTGGGAAGGTTGGGGTTTTTTCGGAGGCGGATGAGGTTTTCTTCGGAGCGGTTGACGTTGTAGGAGACGA